GGGTTAGTTTGAGTAAGCAGTTTTCAAGTTTCCCATTCCAGAGCCAGATAAGCTCTCTTTGAAACAACAAATGGTCTGCAGACAGCCTGGATGGAGACATGGTATAAATCTTTGTCATTTGACTGTGGGGAGGAAATAGGAAACAATAAGCAGCACAAGGGGAAGTGAAAGTGAAGATATTGTCACCCCAGTGAGAATGTTGATACCAGGCTGTCTGAATCAAACAGAGGCCTAACAAAACCAAGGAGACAGGGAGGGAAATACAACTAAATGTGCCATATTTCCTGGTACTGTACAACTGTTTTCAGAAAAGTCAAATCCATGTCTGTTTAAATGGCGATAAAAGGTAGTCATGAATAGCGAAACATTCAGTAGATTGAACCTTCCATCTATTTTCTTCCAGTAATCCGGGGCCAAGAATCTCTAGATGCAGGTTTACCAAGTAAGCCCAGACTGCCCTCTCCCCTGCTATGTTTTCCATCTAATCTTGGGGAATCCAAAGGTGTTCAAAGGCAAGAACTCTTGGTCAACCCTAGGTTTCCTCTCAGTTGGATTAATATGGAGGGGGGCATGTTCACAAACACAATTGCCTCCTTTCAATGTGAGAGAGCAAAGGCTCCATTCATATATCCTGACTAGCTCTAGGATGGAATCCAGGCACCCTGCAGAGGATCTGCAGGATCAAACCTCATGACTATCCTTGAGGAATACAACATTGCCAAATTGGTTAATTGAAAGTTTTGCCTTCTAGTTAAGCCCCCTTTTCACCCTGGTGTCTGATGATCTCTAAATCAATTGTATCCTCACATGAGAAAGACAATGCACTCACACTTATGTAACCTGGTGGGAGCAATTCATTATTTTCACCCAGAGAAACATATCCCACACCCTTGGAGATCCCGACTGTCATCCTGACCGCTGCAAACCATCCCAGTGCCTGTTCAAGGTCACATCTTTATAAGCAAAAAAACAACTTCATCTTGTAAAAGCAGCAAACAACGTATAAGGTCCCCAAACATTCTCCTCCCCAAAACTGTGCCTTGAGATCCTTTCCAAGGAAAATAATACACAATATTGTCAACAAGAGACAGCTCTGGCGGAGACCAACACCTATGTGTTTATCTTTGTACCATGGTTACAAACAGTTGTCTGGTTATACAAGAAACAGATGCCAACCGTATAACAGTCCCAGTATCCCATAGTCATCCAACAGGAATTCCCAGGGGGTTAAAATAACAGGCCACAAAAAAAACAAAAGTAAAAAACATAGACTGGATTAAACTCCCATGATCACTCCAGTAACCCTGTCAGGATTGAGAGATGGTCAACTCTTCCATGGCAACAATTGTGCACATGCTCTGTTCCCCCCTTTTTATATTTGGAACCAACCCCCTGGTTCTCCAAGTAGCAGTACATATTGACATATTGTGAAAAAGACAGGGAAAAAATGTTTACATATGTGCAGGAGAGGTATGAGAACCTCTACCCCCACAAAATACACAATAAAAAGACTATTTCTTTCATAGGAAAGAAGGTAGACAAAAAAAAGAGAAGACATAAAACAATATAAGATAGAAGTCCCAAACCTCATCCAGGATGCAGGAGAAACTCTTCTGGAGTTGGGTGTTGGACAGTGGCCTCGGGCCACTCACGTTAACGTTTACAAGGTTTACAACTACCTCCACAGCTATTTGGTTTAAAGTTGAAAGACCTGTTCCTCTCTTTACACTAGTGTGTCCAAGACAACCAGTTGCAGATCCGTTTATAACAAAATAAAACTCATCATTGCTTTCTGGAATTGGTGTTTGGGTTCCTGGTTCACCAATGAATCCGCCCACCTCGATTGCATATGTTATGGCCAACCCATGGCTAGCATATAGTGAAAGAACAAAACACCAGTCAGGTACAGTATATATTTGGTTTATTTAGCATTTATAAACTATTACTTTTTTTGTAATTATAAACTATTCCTTCAGAAAATAAAATTGGAAGAAGACATTATCCAAACTCCATCAGTCTTTAAATGCTTTTTTTGTCCAATCAAGAGTTAAAATCCAATATAACAGAAAGGCAGAACATTCTGCAGTGAAGAGACTGAAAACATAAAGAATGTTTATTAATAGACATAAAACTTGAACTTTAGCGATTAAAAAAACTGTTTCCAATTAGTTTCTGTGTACTTTATCAATTGATTCAAATACTCCTGTATTTGTTTTAATGTGTATTTCTCTCAATCTTCCTGGTTCTTTAGGTTGTTTTTATGTGAACTGGGCTGATACGAGTCAAACATTACTGGTGAGAAGTCACATAGCATGCTATTTTTTCATGCACAAAATAAATAGTATTGCCTGAATCTCTCTTGCCAGTTTGCAGTGTCAGATACCAACAAGGCTCTTGGCATGAGAGAGAACACAGAAAGAACAAGATGCAGAACAAAAGAAGTGAACAGTATACGCAGCGGATAAGGATATTAGTTGGAAGGAAATATAAGGAAATGAAGATGAGTGAAATAAAGTTGGCACCGGAGGAGCAAACTAATACTTCTTGAAGACAGAGGAGCCTCTCTTTACATATCTGTTGCCTTCATTCTTTCATTGTTTCTCAACCTCTCCATCTCTGTCACTATCTGTTTGCCTTTGATCTCTCTTTGCTGACTCACTCTGCCTATCCTTTTCTCCAGAACAATGAGGTTAATAATGACCCGCACTCTAGTCTCTAACTTTTTCACCAACTTTCTCCCCCTTTCTCTCTTCTTTCCATCCTCTCCCTTTCTGTTTCCCCCTTCTCCCTCTCTTCAACGTGCTTGAGGAATGTGTCAGAGAAGCACAAAAGAACAAAAGCTTGACAGGAGGAGGAGGAGGAGGATGAAGAATAAGAAAAAGAGGGGGGAGAAAGTTGCATGAGGTAAAGGAGAGAAAATGAAAAGGGGGAATCAGGGGAAGGAATGAGTGGAGAGAGAAAGGTTGAGAGGAGCAGAACACGGTTGAGTGGATCTGAATGCTGAGCAGTGCTTTGTCATCACGTGCTGACATGCAGCATCACACACAACATTTCAGAGCTCTTTATCAAGCCCCCTCTCTGAACAGCACGCACACACGATGGGTGAGGCTGTCCCTGGGCTATACTGCATGGCTGCCTGTTTGATTCAGTGGCCTTTGATGCATTTATTGTTGTGTCATGGTAATATGCTAATGGCCTGCAGCGAGGCTAAAGATTAATTTTCCAAACTCTAGACAGTTCTCTATTGTAACCTTTGTCATAGCATCAGTCACTTTCAAACTGGGGGCTTGATCAATATCCCTCTTTCTAAACAGACCATGTTCAACAGACCACCATAGCAGTATCATGGCAGACTGATGCCGAGCTTCAATGTAAATAGTCCTGATTTTAAATGTGGGTCAATTTTTTTTCGAACCTCGGCAAGTTTGTTTATTACCAAATACTATCACAGCAAATTCTTTAAGAGTTAAAAAAAAAACAGCAGGTCGGCTGCACAGAGGGATTGACAGGAAAGAAACAGAGAAGAGATGGGAGTTAGAAGAGGAAATTACAGCTGTGATTTGGCTGTATAATGGCTCATCTGTTGTTTGGACCACAAGTGACTTGTGAGGACTTGTTGTGATTGTGGCTCGGTGTGTGGCCAATGGGAGCTCTATGTGTATGTGTGTGTGTGTGTGTGTGTGTGTGTGTGTGTGTGTGTGTGTGTGTGTGTGTGTGTGTGTGTGAAGCATGAAACAATATAAGCAAGCTTTGTTCACTTCAAACACGGCCGCATTGCCTGATGCAAATCAGTGTATTTGGTCGCAGGTGTTGCTGTAGAAGACCGTATCTTGTAACCAAAGATAAGTCTGAAGCAGTTTTTCATTTTATAAAGTCAGTGTGTCTTTTTAATAAGTTTTAATAAGCATTGTAACCTATCACTATTTATGCCCCACCCCCTCCCTTCCCCGCCGGGTTTACCAAACGCTAATTCGCCATGCAGTGTAGCGGATGGGATCATCCATCAAGAGTCAATAGTTAACGTCGGCTTTGTCCCGTTGCCATCCATCATCAGCGCGTGCGCGCACACACAGTGTGTGTGTGAGTGTTCCTGTTCTCTGTGGAACTACCTCCGACCCTGCGGGCCCCTGACCCTGCCATACTGGCCCGTCTGACGCGCTGTTCCGAATGCCGCCGCGTCTCCTCCTCCTCCTCTTCTCTCCCCCCCTTTCTTCCGCCCGAGCAGCGGGAGGGTGGGTGGCAAAATCTCTGAGGAGACTCTGCCGACCTGCACCAACCCCAACTCTTATTTAACTCTTGTGTTTTTTTTCCTCTGACGCACACCACGTTGAATGGATAGCCCACCGGTCTGGGCCAGAAGCTGTATCCCATTACCACCGCTTTTATTTTTATGACACAGCGCCTTGGCACATAGGGGGTTGGGGGTGAACTTGGCCTCTGAGTCTCTTTCCTCTCAAACACACCTTCTGCTCCCTCTCTCTCTCTAAAACGCACGCACACAGACATGCGCACCAGCTCTGCCATCTTTTCAGACTACTCAGTCTGGCAGCGGACTGGTTCTTCCTTCACGCCGCCCTGCCAAGACGACAGGTTCTGTCAACAGACCGGCTTGCCTGACACCCACCTTGTTTTGCACTTTTATTATTGTCAGCATTGAAGACATTCGTTTCACCGAAAATGGGCAACACGAGGCGAAACACGTTACACCTCAACATTTGACATAATATCTTATCAAATTAGCAAGGTTTCTCCAGTACGCACAGAACCATCAGGGTGCGGTCACTCTGGCTCACTCAAGATATGCTCGTGGAGGAGAGGCGTCTCCAAACGCTGGCAGCATGTGAAGCTGAAGCGCACATGTTGCCTACGGGGGCGTGGCCAGGTCGAGGCACTGTAAACGTTTGCTTGTGTTCCCCAGGCCTGTTGGGCGTGTCCGTAAAGAAAGGGGCGTTGGCATCACTACACAAGTACCTCTGCTCCCTATGCCATTCATAGCGCAGCCGCTTCTCACGAGCACCGGCACATAGGTAAGATAAGAGCTCTGCCAGTCGGTCAGTCATCCCGAGAGGAGAGCACCGGACAGGCTGATTAAACCATCTGGTGAGCCCACACACCCAGAACCAGTTGAGAAGTGACAGCTGGAGCCTTTTTGACGCAAGACGCGCAAAGACAGCAGCGTGCCCACCGCACTTGGACCTGGCAGTTAACCCAAATTAACCCATAAATACCTGCAGACTAAAATGGAACGGAAAATCCCTGATTTCTCTGGCACCTGGGAGATGAAGAGTTCTGAAAACTTCGAGGAACTATTAAAAAAGCTCAGTAAGTGAAACACAAAATTAACCATCAAGGCCTACCCATGGCAAATTGTCACATTTCTTTGCGCAGATGGTTTCTTGTGCAGCTTTCATTTCTGTGTGTAATGACACAGATCAGATTTGTCAGCTCAAACTGTAGCTTTCTCAGCACATTGTAGGTCAAATCTTCCTATGTGTCCGTCCACCAGCGAGGCTCACCCCCCCTGTCCCGCATTGGTGGGGGGTCTTTGTCATTTTGCACGACCCAAAATACAGTGTTTGGCCCACAGCCAGCTTCACCCTTCTTCCTCTCATCTCCCCCTTTGGCCTATACCCCGAGAACACAATAGAGACAAACGGCAGCACATATGTCTGTGCCACAGCCTCAGAGAGAGAGAGAGAGAGAGAGAGATGTCTGTTAGTGAGTGTGTGTGTGTGTGTGTGTGTGCGCGCGCGCGCGCGTGTGTGTGTGCTGAAGGAACCGTTTAGGCACGATACAGTGCAGGACAGTCACATCATTATCTGAAGTGACAGTCCGGGAAAACGGACAAACACCTGCTGCTGAGATTCATACTTTTCTGGTTCATTTAGAGTCAGTGTGTCTTATGTGTGTTTCCTTGCATGTGCGCGTGCAGAGCTCTTCTGTCGTCTGTAGCCAATTCCCATTAAAAAGACTTGCCAGTGCGCACCTGGGCAGATGAGAGTGCACAATCACACACAGCCGTTCTTCTGCAGGAGGTTATTAAAATAGCTGCTAAATGCCACTATTGTTCTGAATATAGGCGCATCGTCACTTTGAAGGAGGGCACTCCAACTTCCCTGTTAGACTGGAGCACCAGTTTGAGTTTGACGTGTCTTCAAATGTACCCTTTGCTCCTCTCTATCCTTCTCTCTCTCTCTCCCTTTCTCTTTGTGTGTGTGTGTGTGTGTGTGTGTGTGTGTGTGTGTGGCATGTATATAGAGTCAGAGACATGAAGTAGGATGGGGGCTATAAAAAGGCAAATATTGCAACATGTAAACAAGACACATGCGCAGTAATGACAGGGAAGTCTCATTTATGTGCACTTCTGAATGTTTTTGCAACAGGTTTCCAATAGTAAAATTCACCACCACAACATGTATCAGGGCACACTTTCCTATCTACCTATGCATTGGCTTGACTGACAGAGAGGAATGGTCCTTGGTCGCGGTGGGGGGCACATCCCAGCTGTATGCAGCCTGTCAGCACCCAGCACCCTCCTGTGGCCCTCCATCCTCTCTTCCTTTTCACACTCCTGATCTCCTCCCCTCTTCCCTCATCTCTCTGTGTCCCAAATGCTTCCTCTGCCCTCTGCTCTTTGACATCTGACCCTAAATGTCTGTCCTTCTATCTATCCATCTCTCTATCTAGCTATCTCTGTGTGTGCGTTTGTAACCATGTGACCAGACCTGTGTGAATTTAAGCAACTTGGTCACAGGTTTACAAAAGTCTCTTCATGTTATTTCTAAATACTAAATTTAGAAATAACTTGACTGAGTCTGAGACAGGGAAGTCAGTTCACGTCTGCAGGTCCACATGTTGCCTGAAATAATCCACACTTTTAGGAGGGACACTTAGTCATTTAACACATCATCATCATCTGGAGTGGAACCAAGTGTATTTATTTTAGTAACCCCCTTTGATTGATATATTTCATGTATTTTTGATGAGCCGCTTAAAAGTCTTTTTGCAGTTAAAAAAAAGGATCTTGATTTATCAACATTTACATAAATGATTATTTCTATTATCAGCAGATCTGTGAATTTTTTTAGTCTGCTCTCTTAGACAAAAGTGTGCCCCGGTGGTTAAAATGGCATAAATAGGGTACTAAAGATAGAAAAGCTACTAAACCTATAACATTTTCAAACTGGATAAAGCAAATGTGTGACAATTTCTCTTTAAAAAATTCTTAAACTTGATATAAATTAATTCTCCAGGTACTTGACTAATTGACCAATATTTTTATAATTAATTTTTTATAATTAAAAAGGGTGAAAATACTCTCTCATGACTGCATATCTGAGAAAAACAAAACATTAAAAGACTCAGGTACACTATACACCTCAATGAAATGGGTTCAAACAAAAATGATGCTTCTAAAATAATAAGTGTTGCTGTTGAATGGTGATGTCCTCACAATGAGCTTCACACAATGCAGCTCACTCGGCACTTACTGAGAAGATGGCAATGCAAACACACACCGTACTACTTGTGTGCAGTAGACATACGGTGTGCAGCCTGGACAACCTGATGCACACTGAATGACTGTGCATTTCTCCATGTGTATATATTTACCCTTGGTGACAGGTGGGAATGTGTGAGAGGTGAGAAGTGCGAAACCCAACTCGGCGGTGGCAGATACACACTGGAAGATGTACACACACTTCCCCTAACACTTGGACAGAGATCTTCACACACCACACACAGACCACTGCTGCCCCCTTAGTCTGTCTGCCCCCTCCCTCCTCCTGCCCCCTCCCCACACCGCTCTGCTTCCCTCTCTTTTTCCCACGCTGGATCATCATTACTGCAACACTCTATGGAGATATAAGTGTACTATCTCTCAATTTAGAAGAAGAGAATGGGGCACTGGTTTAACTCAGTCAGCAGAGCAGGTGCCCCATGTACAGAGGCTACAGTCCTCATATCACAGGTCACAGGTTCAACTCCTGATCTTGATGCTGTTTGATGCATGTCATCTCCTACTCAATCTCCCTCCACAAGTCCTGCCACTCTATAGCTGTCCTATGAAGGCAAATTGTCCAAAAATAGTAAAAAGAAAGAAAGAAAGCAAGAGAAAGAGAGGGTTACATTGCTGGTTGCATTGCAGAACGTATAAATCATCAAATCTTATGCGTTGTGTATAACTTTTTGTGTGTGCATGTCTTTGTGTGTGCGTAACGATGATTAAGTGTGGGTGGAATGCAGATGTGCTGGGCATGCTTTTATCGTATGACCTCAAAGTTTCCTCTGTCATCATTATTGGACAGAGTAGTGTGGTGGAAGACTGCTCCTGTTACCCTGAGTGTGCACGAGGAGGGTGTGAACAAAAATCAAAACCACACTATTAAAACAAAATAACACACAGAGTCTAAGGCTTGTTGGGTTTGTATAATTTTGTAAACATTTGTTTAATTGGCTCTGCTCCTTAGGGGTGGATCCAATTAAACCTAAACTGCTACTCAAATAAAATTCAGTTCTTGTGAACTAGAAAGTCTTTACTGCTGGCTTGGGAGTATTTTCTTATGTATCTGTAACAATGCACGGAAAGTTTTGTCCTTACATCCTTGTCTTTCTCTCTCTCGTTTTTTGTAGATGTGAACATGATGCTGCGTATGATTGCGGTGAAGGCAGCAGCCAAGCCTCTTGTGGAGATTAAACAGGACGGAGAGACATTGAACATTAAAACTTCGACCACAGTCCGCACCACTAACATCACCTTCACCGTAGGACAGGAGTTCAATGAGGCCACAGTGGACGGGCGTCCCTGCACGGTACACAGCACTTGTTCTTATATGCTAACTAATTTTTTCTTTCTTTGAGAGTGCACAAACACAAACACACACACACACACACACACACACACACACACACACACACACACACACACACACACACACACACACACACACACACACACACACACACACACACACACACACACACACACACACACACACAACCGCAAAGGCAAATACACACGCAGAGAATAAATGGGCGTATGGGGAGGGAGCTAAACAGATTACATCAATCTGTTTGATTTGGCTTTTCATCATTTGGTCTGATAGCATAGCTTGACCCCACCCTTGGTCTCTGATGGCCTATCATGCTACATTATGTTCTTCACACTCTTTACGACCCCTTTTAACTTCGCAGCTTCCTTTCATTCCCCCTTCATGCCCTTTCCTGCCCTCATTCCCTTTCTACTTCTCCTTGTTGCTTCCCTGTTTACCCATAGAAGGCCTCTGTTTGGCCGTCTCTAAAGCAAACACATGCAACCAGCCAGCACATTTCTCTAGTGACGGTGAGCGCATCACAAATTCTAACCTCTAATCGACTGTGCTGCTCCATCTTTGTTTTTATCTCAATTGGCTGCCCTCTCATTATCTCCTATTTCCTCTAACATTCATTTGTGCATCCATTTCCTCATCAAAGAATGTGTAACATTTGTCTCATGGTTTTTCTTTGTATCTCTCTCCTCAGAGTTTTCCACTTTGGGAAACTGACAACAAGATCAGCTGTGATCAGACTCTTCAGAAAGGAGAAGGTCCAAAGACATCTTGGACCCGGGAGATCACTAATGACGGCAAGCTGATCCTGGTAAAGCACAAAATTCTTGCTATCTCCCTAGCCCTGAAAACATATGTCATGCATCTACACCACTTAGCCACTGGCTACAACTGTAGCTGATGAAGAAGAGAAGACCTAGAAAATGTTGTTGATGAGGACGAGGTGGAAAAAAAAAAGTTTGAAATTATTTTGTATTCATTACAGACAACTTGTTGCATATTTGATGATTTATCACTCATCAAACTGTGATGTTTGATGTTTTCTCATATCATACAGGTTTAGCTCGAGTCACACTTGAGTAACAAGTCAAACTTTTCTCATATCCATGATTGAAACTTACCTTCTGCATTTGACTTTAAATGAATCATCCTTACTAAAATACAAAAAGTGAATGCCTACATTTGTCACTGAATACCCTACATGCTAGATCATATGGAAGTGTTACATTTGTTTTGTTACACTGCTGTTCCTAACGGTTTCCTGTAGGAATTTCTTGTGAATTGTAAATCTGTGTTGCCAATATGTTGCACTTCTACCAACTCTATTGTTGAATGAAATTATCTTATAATAATAATAATAATAATAATAATTTGCTAAGTAGAAAATACTTGCTGAATATTTTTCTCAAAGTTCCTCCTAAATGCAATTTTCTTTGTATTTTTGTCCGCCTCTCACATGCTGTCACTTTAATAATGGTAGCTACTAGCTAAAAGTATGTACCTTATTGATTTCCTGTTTATACAAGAAAAAATACTCGTTATTTAATTGAAAAATAGTACAAGTATATTAGTTAGTATAAAGAAAAAAAAACCCAAGTGACCCAAGTCTACTGGCAAGCCAGTCCAACTAAAAATGACAAATGCATCTTGAACAATCCGCTCTGGTGTTATTAGATTTTTAATTAAACAGACTGTAAACACAACAAGTATTTATAGGCCAATTGTTTACCAAGGTTGACATTATCGAGGACTTTGTGCTCTGAATCACCAAACACCCAACTTATTTTCTTAAGTTGGCAGTAATAACTATGCGCGTGTCTCTGTAGCAGTATCTTTTACTTTTGTGCATTGAAACACATTGGAGACACTGAAAATAGCTCTATTTGGAGTTTTAGAGTGAACTAAAATGATTAAACCGTGGATAACTTGCTTCAGTACTTGTAGCGTCAAAAATAACATCCACAATCTTCTTTCTTTTCAGACCATGAAAGCGGACGATGTGATATGCACCAGAGTCTATGAACGACAGTAAACAAGAGCACTTCTTCAACTCATCGTCCTTCCAGCCACCCTCCTGTCCCGCTTCACCACTTGCGTCACAACACTGCTCTGTAAAGGCAGTGCTAGGAGACAGCAGTCTGTAGTTTTAGTATCTCTGTTAGCTTTCCTATGTTCTTAGTATGGTAACTGTATCAACTATGTAAAGTATTGTATCATCACAATGGTCTTAGCTGTCTGACCCTACAGCTGCCTCAAGTGTGACCAGCTGTGTTTTAAACATGTATGTCACTTTGTATGTTGGATCTTCTGAATGTCAGCCTTTTCATTTGGCATTGTGCATATGTGAGTGTGTGTGGCAGCAGAAGAGGAGCGAGAGTATATTTGTACTTTGTAGATATGGAAACCAATATTTGAGCTCTTCAAGTTTCAGGTCAGTTTGAATGTGTCCCTTCTTTTTAATCCTGTAGCCCCACTACTTAGCCTTTTCTATTTCACAGCCCCATTTTCTATTTATTACTACACTAGGAGTCTGATACAGTACAGCTAAAGTTTTTACTTTGTGTCCTTTTTATATGAAATGTGATCATAGGAAACTTAATTTTCTATGGGAAAACAATAAAGCATGATATGACCTCAGTTTGGCGTCAAATGTTGGCCCTCGTGTTTGGAAAACCATTAGCATTTAGCTGTGCATATGCTTTATGGTTTGTGAGTGTAGCTGTGGAATATGTGCACAGTAGATGGCTCCATCTTTTTTTAGGATTTCTGTCAGCTGTCTGCAACTAGAATAACTGTTCTGTCCCCTCCCATTCAGTCCTTCTCTCTCCCTCAGTTTTTTTGTCTCCTCATCCATCCACTTCTTTTTCTTCATCTTTTTTTCAATCATCTCAGGGCCATTTAACCTCATAATTACTTCTTCACTATTCCTCAAGGCTAAAATGTTTCCATTTACCTTTTTTATTTTATTTATATCTGCTCAATTGTATCACACATTTCCTTTGCTCGGTTTTATTTCCATTTCCATTGCCAATGGGTTATTTTGCTTCATATTTCTCTGGGAAGTCTTTGAAGGCTGCTTGACTTAAAAATGTGGTGTTTACTTTCTTGACAAGAGCGAGCCTATTTGCATAGCTTATGAAAAGAATGGAAACAGGGAAACAGCAAGCCAGGCACAGTTCAAAAAGGGAAAAAAAAATGGCCTCCTAGCAAACCTAAAGTTAATTAATCAATGCTTTATATCGTATTTATCTTATTCATCAAAAAACATAGTCTGGGACTCCAGATAGCCAAGTTATGTTGCCTGCCCCATGTAAGGATGCTATGAATACACTCTCTCGTCCCATTATGTCCTGTCTCTCTTCAGCTGTCCTATCTTATAAAGGCAATAAGGAAAGAAGTAGCCAAAAAAAATAAAATTAAAAATACATTTTTTTTAAAAGACTAAAAATATAAAACGCTGCTTTATACTGAATGATGTACTGGACTATTTCTTCACTGGGAACATTAACTTACATGGAGCATTTCAGTTTGGTTAAAATATAAACATGGCTACAAAATAGTACAGTTAAAAATGGTGACGGTTCATATCTATGCTAACATTTCTATACAATCAAAAGACTAAGTATACTGTAAGTAAGATGTTTATTTGTTAGCTGTGGAGATGCTTGGTAGGCACGTTTTGCAACATTTTTACAGAGCCAGGATAGCCATTTCTTTCTATTCCCAGTCTTAATGCTAAGCTAACATTTAGCTGGCTTTAGTTACAAATATACCATAGAGACAGTACTGACACAAGAGTGGCACCAATCTTTTTGATTGTACTGTGGACAAGGAAGCCAATAATTGGCTTCTCCACATGTTGACCTGTCCCTTTAAACATCTTAATTTATGAAACATCTGTGTTTTTGTTTACTGAAGATGGTGAACTTGAGAAAACATTTTAGGGAGGGTAAATTGACCATCTGGACTGTGAACTACCTGATCAATCACCAGATAGTCACTGACTAGGGCATATCTCAAATGGCAAGAAATGCTAATTGGATTACAGGATACAGATGATTGACATTGTTCAAACAGGAGTTGTACATGTCACAGCACAGCATGTCCTTCACAAGGAGCAGGCTGTTAAGGGACCTGACAATGAAAAAGTGGGAGAAAGATGAGCCCCATTTCATACACACCTATACTACAAGTACTATACAGTTAGACAAAAAGAAAAACGAGATGGAGAGGGATTCCTGAGAGAGGAATTTATTGATGCTGAAACTTTTTTTTTTTTTACCAACTATCTCTTTTTTATTATTATTCATGCCCTACAGCTGTGCATAGTTAGAGTGTGACCTCAATAAAGTACCATTCTCTGCCTCCTGCCCTAATAAAAGAGGTAAATAACCACCCCTCCCTCACTGTTTATTACCCCCTGGGGCAGTAAAAGACAGCTGTCTGGTCCCCTTCAAAACGCCCAGCCAGCACCGAACCCCCTTAAAAAAACACACACATCCGAAATATTCACATACTAACTAAACTAAAAAAACGCACGTTCTGGGAACTCTTAACACATACCATCAAACACTCACACCGTACAGGTAGCTCATAAAATACTGTCGTGGCTCACCCAAACGGTTAATAAATAAACCTCACGGTGCACAGAGAACCTGTGAAGGTCCTGAAAGATGTAGCACCAAAAGAAGGTCTAAAAAAACAAGAACAAGCCGTCTCTGCCCTGGCTTCCTGACTGCATCATTATCCCCGCATGTTGCTGGCTTTGCAGAAAGCGTAGCAAGGAACAGAAGGCAGATTGGCATCTTAACAAACACACTTCGCTCCTAAACTGTCTCAGGGCAAACAAGCAGCCTCATTCTGTAGAAAGAGTGAAATACAAATTTTCATCCTGATAAAATAAAAAACACCTGAATTTGTAATTAAGCAGCAGCAATTGGAAATTTTGGAACCTGTAACGAGGCAACCACAGGCATTTTCACAGGAACCAATTGTGATGCTGGTGGCGGTTTTGTGAGAGCAGGTTAGTTAAGGTGCCCAGCAACCACGGCTGAGTCAGGTTACAGCTTGACAGATGACTTATGGGCAGGGAGGGGTGCACTGTGTGTACATGTCTGCATACTTATACTTCAGAGTATGTCACAAAAGTCAAGACAAGTGATTTGCGATCTGGTTGAAGCAATTACTGTCAAGAAGGTCAAGTGCACTCTGGGTTAGATAGTAAAGAATTGGGAGGGCTTGCAGGAAAATGCCTTGCAGGGGGGAGGGCACGATGAGAAAAAAGAGCCCCCATACCTCCGGTCATGGTCTGAAGTTGCACACATTCATAGAAAAGAATATCTATGTGACAGTGTGATGACAGTAGAGTGTCATTAAACACCCTCACATACTGTACTGTCACCCTCCAGGATATTGACTTACACCCACACACACCTGCAAGAATGCACAAACAGATACACACATCAAACAGTCACACGCACTGCGGTAAAGTGCACCAATCTCTTGTGGCAAACACAATTAGACCACCCAGGAACCTTTGAGGCCACTTGTAAAACATCGGTCAAAAATAGTATACGAGGGCATACCCCACACGCACAAACACACGCATGCACAACACACACACAACAGCGCTCACATTGTTTCACTTGAATGTTTACTGGTTTACTGGAAGGAAAGAAAAAAGATCACTGAAACCACTCTGGTCCACTTGACTGCATTCTTATTTTACACACAGTTACAAGGCTCAAATTACCTTGCATTTCCTCTATTTTCTCTGTCAGAAAGAAGGGTTAATAAGCCAAAGGAAAGACATGAGAGAGTGGGGAAGATATTCAGTAAAGGTCATGGGAAGAAATTTGGAAATCACCAGAATATGGTTGGCACCTTGGCACACAGGACACGTAAACCATGTTCATAAAAACCCCTTAGTTAAATGTCTGGGCAGAGGATCCTTCCATTAGGGAAAATAAAAATGAGAGAGGAGTGAAATGGAAACACTGAGTCAGAGACTGGTTAGGTAAGGATAAAAGCTTCCTTTTAACTTCATTGTCTAATTTTATATAAGATGGTTCATTCACAAGTTTTATGATCTCATTTGCCAACTGCCAAGTTCAGCGGCGAGAGTCCCTGAACTGATACTGAAACAGTATCTGATCATCTGCTCTGCGTGATCATCATCCTCCAAGACAATGATCTTACAGTATACCAGAGGTAGGCTGAATGAAGTCTTTGTAGGGATGAAAGATTTAATGATAAATCTAATTACAGACTCTGACGGTGACCTCTGGGTAGACTGAGGGAGATGATGAAAAGATGGAAGATACTGGGAAAAGACTGACTAGGATAAAGAGGCAGTGTGTGGGAGAAGTAATGCATTTTCACTCAGCTATTGTGTGTGTACTCCAAAACACTGCAGATCAAAGGCAGTGCACTTTTAAACCAAGTTGATGCATCTACTGACCTTCTTTAATTTGTACATGTTGGGCCAGAATCTTGTTAACAGAGAGCAAAAAAAACAACAGCTTAATACAAAAAAAAAAAGACAGAAAGTGGTTGATCTATCTGCATACATGTATAGTCAAGCATACTCTGCTGGGAATGCAGAACCTTGTTGATTGTATAACAGATGCAACTTAAGTCTACAAGCAGGACAGGCAAAGGTTTCTGACAAACCCAGGTGCTGGAGGACAGAGTGGATCTTCAGGTAAGTCCAGGAGAGGGTCAGGGATACAAGACTACATACCTGTGTTCTAGGTCTTAAAGCAGACAGGTACATAGCATGTCTCTCGTAAGGTGTTGAAGATGTCTGTGAACATTAGCGACATCTGATCGGGAAAGTACCCCACGGTGGAATGAGAGGCAAAATCTGGACTGTTTTTTTCTTCTTAAAAATTGTCTGTACACAGTAAGTCTCTCACCAGAATGGAGAGAATCTTTACTGTAGGGCAACAGAGGGCTGCCTGGGGGACAGTTAATGAAAGTCCCAGGTATCTGCTTTGAAGGGCCCTTGGTGTGGATAACGGTCACCACCGCTACCATCGTCTGTGCCATCTTTCCTTGACATTTTGTGACAATATGTTCGTCTGCTTCACAGTCTGGATTCTTCCCACAAGTGCAGAATGGGGTTGAGGTCAGGCCTCTGTGAACGCCAGTCTGGTTTTTCCACACAGTACTCAGGAAACCACTTTTGCATGGACCTCCCTTTGTGCCTCGGGACATTGCACCTCCAAAATGGAAAGAGCTGTCCCCATACTTACTACAACAAAATAAAACAAAAACACTTTGTCTAAAATAGAGCTCAATAAGATGGCAGGTGTGTCTACAAGCATATGTCATAAAATATTGTGTGTAAAAGCAGCAATATTACCGTATGGTGTCTAGACGATGAAAATGAAATAGAGAACCAGTGCAGAGAAATGCCCAGAATGATTATCAGGTGTTAATGTGTGATCAGCTGTCAGAACTCCATGACTCATCCTTTTTTTATAGGCTCAGCACACTGTCAGTTCATACTCACTCACATGCAAGCAAATAGCTATTTCACCCATGACTTTTTAAAACAGCTCCAAGTAGTACAAATTAAGAAAATCTCAAAAGGGGATATAATAAGAGAAATAAAGTACTGCTAAGTTTCTGTT